GCTGCACCCCGGAGGGGAAGGCTGGGGGCGGCTGGGCAGGTTGTGTCCGTGGAGTGCTCTCGGGGCTCCTCCCTGTTCTCATGAAAAACAAGCAAAAACGGAAATAACGGGGCTGTGCTGGAGGTGATATCCTTTTTAATCTCTGTCAGGGAGAGCAGGGCTGTTCTGGACTAGATTTTTAGGCACATGTAACTACTGTAGAGCCTGATTTTATTCATAATCCCGTTGCTGCCGGTGGTACAAACAATAATATAATTAAGACTGTTTTTAAAGGCTGTTGCCCTTTCCAGTGTGCAGGGACAGGTGCAATGTATATTGCATAGGCTCATGGCAGATACTGAGCTTTGATATGCAAGTGGATGATAGTCGCCTCCTTTCTTTCCAGGTGATGGAGAAATACCTTTTTCAGGAGTAGGTGTGGAAAACACCTCACAGTGTTTAAAAGGTCATTCCTCTTCCTTCTGCCAGGGTTCTCCAGCTGGCCAATCCCTTTTGTCTCAGAATTCTTCCTGCCTTATCTGCCCTGACTTTGAATGCATACAGACCTCAAGTACAAGGGATGCCAATGGAAACACCTGCTCAGAGCAGTTAATCACATCCTTACTTCATCTCCCCGTGTTCCCAAGGCCCATTAAATCATAATGATTTTGTTTACTCAGCCTCCTAAGTCATTCCTGGTAATACTTGCAACAGGCCGAACAGGAAGGTTGGGCGTTGTGACTCCGACTCCTTGTCACGTGTAGCCGTTTTGGTGTTCCCCAGCCCTGGGTGTGAATCCAGCGCGCGTGTCAGCAGGTGCCAGCAGGACCAATGGCGCTTTTGCTATTTCACAACTGGAAACTCACCTGTCCCAGCATGAATCAACTTCTTTTGATGCACTTCCCTGAATGCTCAGGAGTCATGAGACATATCTTATTCTTCATGGAGAGGAACTATAAATATGAATGAGATGTACATGTTAGAGTATTACATATTTGGGGGGCTTTTAGCATCCTTCACAAGTGTTTATGTGCTATAATTTTGTTCTGGCAGTATGTTTTTTGCTCAATTGAGAGATTCTGTATTGCACAGTGAATGAGGGAAGGTGTATAAAAGAAATACTGCTGAAAAACGTTACTACACGTATAGCTTCTAATGCTTTTGTATCAAAACGTTTTGGTGGTCTTGGTGCCGGAAGAGATGAAATGAAGTCTGCTGTTGGGAGAGTTAAGTGGTTTTCACCTTGTCTCGCTCCTCACAAATGGCAGAGGAGGGAGCGTCCAGTGCCTAGCACAGGGGAGGTGGGGAGGTAGGGCAGTTCCTCTGCAGAAAAAATCATCAGGAGCAAGCAACACCATCAGGAAACAGCACTGTACACTCATACTGGGATGGTTACAGGTGAAACGCTGTACTGGGTTATGCTAACACTGCCAAAGGATAGAGCTACTGATGCGTTTTGTCTTTCCGTTCCTGTGACAGGATGCTCTTCCCCCTGCCTCTGCGGGTAGCCTGCAGTCTGCTTGCCTGGCTCTCTCTCTATGCTTGGTTCTGCCGTCGCTACAAGCACCGGAATTATGAGTGGAGCTGCAGGCTGGTCACACTGACCCATGGCATCCTTGCTACCTGTCTCTCTGCTTACATTGGCTTTATTGATGGTCCCTGGCCTTTGAGTCACCCGGGTAAGTAATGAAAACTGGTCCCAGATCCCCCCAGTGGGTGATGGCACCCACTGTGATGGTTCCAAACCAAAGTGGGGTTGTCCTACCACCTCAGTATCCCAGCCCATCTGAGGAGTGATGATTTTAATGACATCTGAGCTGCTTTGGGATGAAAAGTACTAGAGAGATGTAGAGACTGGTACTGTATTTTGCTAGTGTAATGGCCTTCCGCAGCTGCAGTCTGGCAGAATGTGTGATCACGTTGTGTGGCCATTACGTGTGTGCAGCTCTTAGACTCACAACTCTAGTATTGTGACTTGTCTGGCTTCTCCAGCTGAGCTGTGATCAGTGCAAGCTAATACCAGCCTGCCACTGCTGAAGGTGGATACCCCTTCCTTGTCTTGGATCCAGCCTGCTTGTTAGCTCCACGCTTTAAAGCTCTGTCTGGTGTCTTTGTGTTCCAGGATCACCAAACACGACTCTTCAGGTACACGTGCTGTGCCTTAGCTTGGGCTACTTCCTCTTTGACCTTTGCTGGTGTGTGTACTTCCAGACAGAAGGTGCCCTGATGCTGGCCCACCATCTGGTGAGCATCTTGGGCATCACAGCGTCACTGGCACTCGGGGAGTCAGCTGCAGAGGTCAATGCCGTCATCTTTGGTAGTGAGATCACTAACCCGCTGCTGCAGGCCCGCTGGTTCCTGAAGGAGATGGGATGTTACCACAGTTTCACAGGTGATGTGGTGGATTTCTTCTTCGTGGTCCTCTTCACTGGGGTGCGGATTGGAGTGGGGGCCTGGCTGATGTACTGTGAGCTCGCTTCTCCCAAACCCAGGTGGTACATTAAGCTGGGTGGCGTCATCATGTACGCAGTCTCCTGGGTTTTCATGGTCAGCATCTGCCGCTTCGCTAGGAGGAAGAGCATGAAGAAGTACCACGCTTGGAGGAGTCGGAGGAGTGATGAGTTATACTTGAAAACTAATGGACATTTGAAAAACCACTGACTGGATGCTGAGTAAAGACTTCCTGGAGTTCGCGATCTGGCAAGGAGGGGATCGTGCCTGAAATGCCGCTGTCGAGAGAGGAGCCAACACACGTTAGCAATTCTGGAGCCAAATTTATCCCTGGCATAACTCCACTGAAATCCATGGAGCTATGCTATAGATTCATTGGATCTGCAGTGTTTGGCCTGGCAGAGGCTGGCTCTGTGTGTACGTAAGTGTACGCTAAATGATGCGAGTGAAAGAAGGGCTAATTTTATGGACTGAACATAAATAGTCCAGTAGTGCAGGTGTAAATAGTAATGTTAGTGGCTAACTCCTTCAGCGCTGGTACAGTCTTGGAAGAGAGGAGAAAGTAACACTAGATCTTCATGTTCAGTGTTCTGTACAGTCTAGACAGCTAGAGTGACTCTTCATACTGTTAGGAAGAAGCGTGTTCTAGTGTTTCATCGGAGTTGGGATTCTTGGCTCTTCCACCAACTTGTTATGTGACCTTGGGCAAGTCACGTAACTCAGAACTCTGTGCCTAATTTCCCCATCTGTGCATTGGGGGTGATGGACCTGATCCATCTTTGTTATGCACTTTCAGATCTTTACTTGAGAGGTGCTATATACATGCAAAATGATGGTTGTTATCTGCACTTTGTTCATTATCCCTGTGTTTCCTTTGGGAGAAACAATTTTGGTGGTTGAGCTAGAGTGTAACTCGATAAAGAAGAGTATTTTAGGTAGGTCGTTGTTTCCTACCCTTTCTAATTTATTTAATAACATACAGATAACTTATTTTTCAGTAGTGTCCAGAAGCTTTCATCAGCACTGGCGCCTTGCAGGGCTAGGTGCTCTGTGAATACACCCAAATATGCAGCCCCCGATGTGAAACGCTTCTCTGACTTTTTTCCCCTCTTCTTCATCCCTGCCTGTTAAAACTCCATCCACCCCTACCAAATCCTGCTTTTAGCTCCTTGAGGAACCAACACTCCATTAGGAGGAGCCCTGTCAGGAGTTGCCAGTAAGTGGTTTTCCGGTTGATGGACCAAGCCCTGATTCTGAGTGCAGAATTCTCTCTGCTGTGCTTATTGGCCCAAATGCAGGCATAGTGTGGGGCCAGCCTGAGGCTGAACGGCATGTCTTGAGGCTGTCAGATAAAAACCCTCCCCAAGCTGTAACTAACTTGCCAAAATAAGAACAGTAGATGCAGAGTGTTTTACTGCAGCGATCTGCAAATGCTCTGTACTTGCTGCTTTTGGCAACAGGGACCAGAACCTGATGTGTCGTGAGGGCTGTGTATTTTTGTTCGCCTTCAAAGTGTCATCCCAGGTTAAGAACAGTGTATCTGAACCCAGAGACTCGCAGTGTTTGGGCATAGTTGGATGCTGTAGGTAAATGTCTTGGAGCTCTAAGGAAAAATGATTGAAAACCACTTGAAACTAGCATTGATGTCTTTTCCCGAGACCATACATACCAGTTTTGACAAGAGTGTTTCCCCAGACCCAAGGTGGGATTTCCAGCTGAAGGGTGGCCAGCGTGCATCTTCAAAACATGGTGGCTAAGGTGGAATAGCTACCCAGCTTCAAATCTGCCCACTGCCCTGTTCAAGCCAGGGACCTAATCTTGACTCTCCTTCATCTGAACTGATGCCTTGACCTCTGGGCTTTGAATTCAATTCTGTCCTGCTGATTACATCTGTGTCACGTTATAAAAGAGCATATAAAATGAACATTTATAAGGTAAGATAGGCTTATTTTACAACCAAATAATTAGAGAAGTGAGAGGCACAGAAACTAGTCTTTTTTAAGCAAAAAAGTGCACCTGACTGGGAGAAGAAATAAGCATTACTTATCTGGTCCCGTTTGCAGGGAAAAACTGTCGCCCACTTGGCAGCTCCTGGTGTTTATTTCACTGTATGTTCTTAAGCACTGTTCCTGTGTTATTGCTGTCGTTATGATGATCATTTATTTTGAGCCTCAGCACCAGGCCTCCAGTGCAGCTTAAGTGCCAGTTCTGCAGCGAGCCTTGCCTGTTGCAGCCAAAGACCTGAAGAGCCCAAAGCACTTGGAGATTAGCAGAGCCAACTGATGGGTGAGCTGGTCCTTAAAAGGAAATTTGACTCATTTTGCACAGCATGGTGGTGTGACTAGTGAGCCTTCAAGGGAGACAGGAAGGGCTAGTTGGGGCTTGCTGGTTCTTCCCAGCTCTGCTGCTGCTGTGGGGCGTGTCAAGGAGCCTTTTTGCCTCAGCTTACCCACTTTATTATGTGGGTACAGTATTACCTACCTCGTGGGGCGTTTTCATTTGTTAACATTAAGCCACCTTTGATTAATTCTTGGTGGTCCGTGTCTGGCTGTGCTGTTGCTTTGAGTGATGCACTTCTCACTATGACCCATCTTTGTCACCTGAACATGGCACTTCCCAGCATCTGGCTTGTCTCACAAAAGCAGGAGACCAAGTTGTTTTGCAGTGGTGTTTACGGGTAGGAGTCAGAAGGAGTAAGCTACACATAAAATCAGCCATGCTGCTTCTTGTTCAGGTGGACTCCCAAGTTGAAGAAAGGGTGTGCGGTGGGTTTTCCCTATTAAGGATTGCGATGAATCTGAAGCCAGGAGAGTTTTCAGCAGCCAGCCTGACCAAGGAATAAGGGCTTTCAGCAGCAAATCCTGCAGAAGTGTAGGTGAAAACAGCCTGTTTGCTTCTCAGTGTAGCTGGTGACTTGCCCACCAAGCAGAGTTTCCTGAGCAGTCCTGATGATTTGGACTCTGACTTCCAGTGAGGTTTGGTGTGCAGCTTAATGCATGGTGACAGGCCTTCTGTGGCAGTTGTGCAGCCCATATGTGCCCAAGTGAAAAAGGATGTCAGCTAGTGACTGCACGTATCTGTGAAACACCTTGTGTGAAGATGTTTTGAAAGATAACGCGCTTAATGACTCAGTGGGCCTCTGTGAACTGGGAGGAACCTTGGTTGGAAGTGGTAAGGCACTGTGATCAGTGTTGAGGCTTTGTTAAACAAGAGCACCAGAAAACAAGAGAGCAATTAGGAATGGCTTTGTGAGACAGAGCTAGCAACGATGTCTCAGAGCAAGGCCTTGTAGCCTGACTAGTAGGCTCTAGCATAGAATCACACACCCAGCAAGGAGTAGTTTAACTGTGAAGCTGTGGAGCACACGGTGGGACCTGTCCTCAGGCTAGTCCCTAGTGGCTAGAGCAAATTGTAAAAGGAAACTGCAGAACTAGTGTGAAATAATAACTTGTGTTTGAATTACTGTGTAATAGCAACTGACGTTCCACCAGTGAATGGTGTAGATGCTTTGTATTATGTTTTCTAAAATAAAGATTATTTAATTACATGAAGAATTTGCTTTCTCTCTTTGGATGCAGTCCTGAAGTTGTATTGTGTATGGCTGGATGAGTTGGTATTGCCAGTGTAAATGACCAAAGTGATGGCACTTTTTAGGGACTGAGCCAACAACTTGTACAGCTTTCACCATTATTGCTTCTTAGACATGTTAACAGTCAGAGAAGCTACTTTTCCTTGCAGAGTTCTCCTTGCAAAGTTAGTAGTTTGGTATTTCTTCAGCCAGTCAACAGCATGAAAGCACCTATTAGCAGAGTGCATTTATTCCATAGCGTTTGTTCCCAGGCCTTTCATGCACCTATCCTCAGGCAACTCATGGAGCAAAAATGTTTCCTTTCTTTTACATGCCCTGCGTGCTAAAGCAGAAGAGTTTCCCCTGTTTCCACACCATGAGCTCTTCTCATTCATAAACAAAGCAGTGTTGCCTAGGAGTTGCTTCATTGGAAAGTCTGACAGGAAGAAAAGGATGTTTTAGCATTATTTCATGTTGCCTTGCGTGGGGGTACTTGCAGCTGTAGAGATGAGGCAGTCAGCACTGTGCCAGGATTTAATCTGGGGTCCAAGTGGTGCTAGTCTGTCTCTCCACGTGCCAGCTGTGATGTCATTGCTTATGTGCTGGGGCTGCTTTCATTCAGAGCTGGGGAGAAACTGCAGGGCTGTGCAGCTGATGGGAACTGCATCTATCATGTTCTGTTTACATCCCAGAGCTCGCTGGGCACAACTCACTCTGCCACATCATCTGCTGTGGGACGTGCGAGCTGCCAGGAGGATGCTGTGCACAGCTTAGGTCTGTTTGCAGAGGGACTTCTTTTGCCCTTGATGCAATAGCTTAGCACTGGGAAAGGGACCAACACACAGAAGAGCTTTGTCAAAGTGATTTAGGAAGTTGTGCGCTCCTCTTTAAAAGCTCTGCTTCAAAGGATGTTTGTAAAGTAAGTGGAGGGGAAAACATGTCTTTCAGGGATGCTTTCAGCGATTGCAGTAGGGGACCCAAGCACCAACAAGGAATTCTGTGAACCAGTACAGATGCAGAATGCAAGAAAGGCCCTGCCCTGCCTGGCCTGTACCAGCAGCTCCGAAACTGTAGCCAAGCCACATGCAGGAAAGACCTGAATGTAGTGCTCTGTGTGTTGTGCTGGTAAAGAATAGCTGTTTGCCTTGCTTATAGTCACAGCATTTTACCAGAGGTCCAGCATGCCAAAAGTCTGTTTTCTATAAATAGTTAAGCCAATTTAGTTGTTTGGATGTAACCCTTAAATCTACCTCAAAATCCTCCAGCACTGGGGAGCAGCTGTGCAGTGTTGAGCCCTCTAGAGATGCTGGCCTGTTTATATTCTACAGGCTGCCTGGCTGCACGATCAAGTGGTCTCGGGGACTGCAGTAATTTATCCTGGGAGTTTGTTTAACCTCTGAGGTAGTCCAGGAGCAGAAAATAAAGTACAGCGGCATTCCGAAGCTCTGCTTTAGAGCTGCAAGTGTCTTCCAAGTTTCTTCTCTTCAGGAATGATATGCCTTAAGTCCATGGGCAAATGTGCTTTGACTGGAAATCTGCCCCCCAATTGATTTCATTACTTATCTTCCCAGTATTTCTTTTAAAGCCATTCCTTCCCTGCTGCCTGCCTTTTGTTTCTACTGCTGATCCTGCAGTGGAGCTT